TGGATGCTGACACATGCTACAGGATAAATGAACCTTAGACACATTACATTAAGTGGAAGTAGACATTTAAAACTTCATAGATTCCTAGTACCAAAAAAAAGCTCAAGTTACATGATTCTATTTACAGCAAATGATCAGAATAGACAAATCCATAGCATCAGTAAGGGTGCCAGTAAGCATCTTTTTGAGCAGAGGTAGATATTCTAGAATTACATGATCATAAAACTGAGCTGTTTGTAGGAAAACAGATGTACCTTGAGGCCATAATGCTAAGTGACATTAAATCAGGCACAGAGGATTAAACATTACATAGTTTCTCTTACATGAGAACCCAAAGCATAAATAACTTTAATAGCAAAATAAAACACAGATGATAAGAAACAAAGAGGTAGACTTTATGGAAATGAGTGAGTTTGAAGTCAGCCTGGAGTACATGGTAAGACCCTGTCTCAAGTAAACCTACCCTCCCCCCCCAAAAAGCCACATGTGTATGTATGTCCCCAAAATGAATGTATTTATCATGTATTGTAAATATACACTAGTAAAAAATAGAATTAAGTAGTCATGTTGGTTTTGTAACCTTGTGAAAATAACAAACACCACTAAATTGTACACTGTAGAGGTATGAATTTTATGATATGTAAATATATCACAATTAAAAATAAAAGACATGTGATATAACCAAATTCTGCTACTGATTAACTCCTAAAACCTGGCCTTAAGCAGGGGGCAAACAAGACACATTAATGAGAAAAACACCAGCTCTATGGCCACTCTGATTTTGACATATGTTCTCAGTCTTTCAAAAGTCCAAAGTGCTGTCAATAAAGCATTTTCATTTTGAGCTTTTAATAAGCTGGTCCACTGTTGTCATCACTCCTTGTCTGACATGTGATTTTATTTTATTTCCACAACACAGTGAATTTTGATAGATCACAGTAATTTCAATCCATGAGGATCTTTCAACTGTAGGAGTGAATTAGAAAGATATTTTTATATTGCCTATTTGAGATAACAGGTCCTAGCACCGTGCTTCAGGCAAAATACATCAAAAGAATGAACTGAAGGTTAAGTTTCCTTTTAGATCTCAATTTTTATAACATCACAAAAATTCTTGCCTAAAAGCAGTCGAATTATTCAACTGCAAGACATTCTACATCCACCTCATTCAGCCCGAGGGAAAGAACAAAGTTGGTCCCGGAGACACCTCTAAGGTTATGGTGCATTCATCTTCTCATTTATGCCTTCTAAGTCTCCGATCCCTGAGTCCCACATCGGTAACCTCCAAGAGAAAATGCAAGTAAAAGCTTTTTGAAAAGCTTTCTATCATGACATATTTGCAAAAGCAATTCTCACATGAAAAGAAGCAACACAAATTCAACTGGTGGATTCAAGTACCACGTCAATCATTATCTTTTTATCCTACCCAAATCAATCAATTAAACGTAACTACCACTCTAAATTAGTTTTAGATACCTTTTAGTCCCAATTTGATTTTTTAATTACCTCAGATATATATTTGTTTCTATACAAAAAAAAAGAGGTTTCCTGCTGTGATTCTGAATCTACAAGAAGGAAAAGGCTGTTCTGTTGTTCATTGTACAACAGTGTTTGTGTCAGTTTAGAATAGCTCCAATGAATTTTTACCCAAAGGTGTTTATTTATTGAATCACTTACAGATCTTCACCATGAGATTATTTCCAACATAACAGAATCCACTGACATTTTATCCAACAGTGATGACAAATTTATGTTTCATCAGGTCCTTATGGATTTCCGCTCATTTGGTGCAGAGCCTGGCCGCCCTGTGCCACACAGGTTAGAGCCCCTTGGGACTTGGTGCTGTTTAGTAAATGCTTCTTGACACTGATGATACTGACAAAGAACATGACACCAGGTTCTATTACGCACGTTCATCTTGCACATCACCAGTGATTTGGTACTGATCATTCAGTTGTGTCACAGGGTCCTGCCTGGACTCCAGTGACACAATGACAAGCAAGAATGACAAGGCCCCTGATCTCACACCACTTTGCATTTTAGTGAAGAAAGGGGAAAAAACTATCACATGAGTAAATAATTTCACATACTGCTAAATGCAATGAACAAAATACAGCTGAATGAGGAGTCAGAAAGTGAAAGGGTCAGACTGTTTTCAAAGCTAATGCATACAGGGGGAAAAAAACTAGACCACCCATCAAGTAGTCCTGTATCTCCAAAGACCAGAGAGTGCCTTTTTTGAGAGCCCTGATAGAACATAAAATATCCTGGTAAGTGACGTTTGAGGCCACCTAAAGAATAAGTGCCAATCAGAGTACTCAACTCACATTCTGGTAAAGAATCTCCCATTATTCCTCCCATTCAGTTCCTTTATGCCCATGCCAGCTGTTGTGGCTTGTGTCTAGATGCTCCCTCAAAACCTCATGAAGAAACCACTGACATTTTATCCAGTAGGTAGCTGGATCTAGGGTGTACAATGCTGGGATTAAGGGTGTGTGATTACTAAATCAGTCCACTGATTGGTTTGGCTTAGTTCTGGGTGTGGATAATAGGAATACCCACCCTGGCTGTGTGTGGCACCCAGAGTGTAGGTGGGCTGGAAAGGATAAAAGGGAGAGGCAGGTGGCTTCTACCGCTGCTGCTACGTTACTGCACTGCTCTGCTGCCTTCTGTCTGCCAAGCTATGAACCATTTCTCCTTTGCAATGCCCCCTCTGCCTTGGAGCCAGCAAACTATAGACTGAAACCTCTACAAACTGTAAGCCAAAATGAACCTTTTCACTATTAACTTTGGGTGTTGGGTATTTTGTCTCAGCAACAAGAAAAGTAACTAAAACGCATGCCCTATCCTGTTTCTCTTTCATAATGTAGTCAGCCAAAGACTGGCCACAATTATATTCCACTATGAAAGGGCATGCTTTGGAATTCATCTGGAAGACACACTCCCAAGAACTGTGAATCCTGAAAGATCTCAGTGAACTTCTGATAACATCTTCACAACTGAGGAAGAAGAAATCAAGTTTTCCAGTCAACAGATTAATGAGGTCAACATGCACTTGTAAAAGGGAGAAATTACCTGCAATAAGTCCGGGTATAAATTATTTAAAATCATTACTTCAAAGACAGATATATTAATATTTCACATGATACAAATTAAGGGACAAGCTTGCTCTGAATTTGTATACTATCTTTTATGTAGTCAGTGGGATTCATAAACAGTAATTTATAAATCCCCACAAGAAAGCTAAGAGGAAAATGGAGGCAAAAGGTGATGCAGTTGTTGCTCACGTTTTGCACCAAGAAACTCAGATTTTGCGTGAGAGACTGAGGACCTAAGAAAAGAGATGAAAGCCAGCTCAGCAACTTCTGCAACACTGGGGTAGACAACACAGCTCAAATGTTCCAGTTTTCCCTTGTAGCTCATGAACCATTTTAGTTTGGCTCTCGGCTCTTTCTCACATTGCAGACATGGGACCAATATGTTGCACATTTGAAAGCAACATACTGCATATTTAAGACCAACACTAACAACAGCTAATGGGCTCTTTCTGAAGACAGCTCCCTCCTTCCCACCCATCCCACCTCATCTCACCTGTCTCCTTGAGGCTGTGTAGCCAATTCTACCACCCTCGTGTAGACTATCCTCTTGCATCTCCCCCACATTCTCTCCTGTTTTACCCCACTCTCTGATTCTGCATCTTCAGGACTCAGGTGAGATGCCAGCTTTTCTAGGAATTTCTCTTCACCCTCCAAGCCTCAGGTGGGATTCCAGAATATCCCAGGAGCGTTCTGCATCTTAGGTGTAAAGGTCTCAGCTGCTCTGACTCCCCAGTCAGACTGAAAGATCCTAGAGGCCAGGCACAGAGCACATGACAGCTCCCAGTAAAGATCAGTTGTGAGATAAAAAGCCTCAGTAGTGACAAAACACTTCACATACAGTCACTCACAGCTACATAAAGGCATCAACACAGAGGCCAGCTTAACAGATGGGAATTTTCTAACTGCAGCTGCATTTTACCCAGACTGTCAGTGTGTAGTCACAAGTCAATGATGCACATCAATAGTCTAGATACTCCATCCTTGCTGCCCAAGCCCAGCTCTGTCAGTATCTCCTCCTTACCTCTACACATACCTCCTACCACCTGCTTCCTGTTACACTAGCTGTACAAAACAGCCTACGTCCTGTAGCCCCCTCAAGCCCATTTCCCCTTCCTTTCCTTAACCACATGCCTTCCAGGAGCTGGTCACGCTTGATGGCAGGGCCAGCTTTTCCTAATTCAGGAACTAAACGCCTTTTAGGAGACACAGCTTAATCCAATCCTGAGCTAATGAGCACCAAGCATGAGTAGGATGAGAAGAGCTTACATTACTGAAAAGCTTTTTAATGTCTGGTTTAACAGAAGACATCTGGATTCTCCATCTGCTTCTGCTCTTAGTGTGTTGCAGTATTATACATCATGGGCTTTCCGGAAGATTCTTGGTACACGCACGAGAAATGAGACGCAAAGTGAAATAGCCTAGTGTCGTTACTGAAACAGCACTGACTTTGTGGAATCTCTTAAAGGACTGTGAGGAATTCTAGCGGCCCGCCACCACACCTGGAGAGCTGATGACCTGGATAATCAACTGTCACTCGGGCACCGTCCGCTTTCCCGGTCAGGCACGATGAGGGACACACAGCTTCCTGACTGTTCTCACGGAGCCATCAGGAAGGTCCACTAAAGTCACCTTGTCCTCTCCAAGGCTTAGATCTTAGAATCAGTTGCACAGCTGTCTACCAGAGACAGTTCCAACCACAGCTTAGCTGAGATCACAGAACATTTAGATCCTCATTTTCTTTCTAATTTGTTAATTTAGAAGAGGCTGCAATTAAATATATTTTTTCTTTAGAACTTGACTGCAGTTCTTTACCTCAGTCCTAATTGGTCTCTGCACTAACTGTACCAACAGACAAGAGCCTTCTGTTGTTCTGGGTATTTGGCTCCTGCCCGCCACCCACAGTCACCCCTTGCTGCCATCGGTCACCCACGATGTGGTCGCCAAAGCAAGGACTAAGGGCTGCTGTCGTGCCTCCGGGTGGCGCACTTGCCTGGTGGGCGTGAAGCCCGAAGTTCAACGCCCAGTGCCGCAAAAAGAACGGAGAAGGTTCACCAGCCCCGCGGGCGCAGGGGGTGCACAGGCGGGAGTAACATAAAATAGCTCTGATTATCTTTTTTAGTAGTAAGAAAGAAATTAGACCTCCAATCTTCACTTCCGTAGACCCGGCCGTCTGCAGGTTTCCATGGGAGCGGGTCACAGGGCACCTGCAGCGTGCCGGGTGCATAGAGGGCACCGTGCGAGCTCCCCGAGAGGCCGCGGTTCTGTAGGGTACTGGAGCTCCAACCGGGGCCTCGCGCCTGTCCACCGCTGAGCTTCCAGCCCCGTTCACTTTTTCTTTTTTCCCAGGCCTTCCCACCGATCTACATCCCCAGGGCTTTTTTCCTTTTTATTTTGAGATGGTCTCACTAATTTGCCCAGGCTGGACTCAAACGTGTAATCTCCCCGAGTGCTACAACTACCAGCCTGCAGCTGCACACCTGGCTACACTTCACATCTCTTAAAGTGAACAGGAGACCTGTGAGTCTAAAATGTTTTCTACCGCACTAAAGCTCTTAAACCAGCTCCATTATGGCATAAAACCGCGATCTAACCAGATCACCTGCTATATAATCCCTAAAAAATCAAAATTGTCAATACCATTTCATTATTACTACAAACTCCACATGTGTATACACTTTGTAATTACATAGACCTCTGCAGAACCCCACTATGTAACATACATGCCGAGGTAGAAGCAGAAGGGATGGGCACTGACGCAATGTTTTACTTATTTATATAGAGTCTAATCTAAAGTGTCATTTTAATAATATCAATGACTTAGTCAAATTATCACTAAGTCTCCTCTGGCTTCTTACTGTGGCCAACTTGGCCCTTCCCGGTGTGGTACCCACTTTCCGCTCCTTAGTTCACTCTACAGTTCAGGCTGGCCATGACTCACGGTGCAGCCCAGGCTGGCCTTTAACTCACAGCAATCCTCCTGAGAGCCGGAATTACAGGTGTGCACCATCATACCTAGCTCTCCCTGACCTTATTTTTAGACCTGTTTAATATATTACAGTAAAAGATATTATTCACCCTCAAAATACTGCCCCTTATTTAGACACACTTGTCCAATCTCTCTTACCACTTTCTGAATCAGTTCTTGAAGTTCTCTTTCCTCTGGGTCTTTAGTTGCAATCTTTTTTGTCTTTTTCCTTTTTATCGGTACCGGGGATCGAACTCACGACTGCCTGCTTGCAAGGCAGGCGCTTACACCACTGAGCTAGACCCCCAGCCCCCTTTAGTTGCACTCTTGTGGCTGCCTCAATGTCCTGAATTGATTCAAAATGTTGACCTTCCAGGGTTATTTGGGGAAGAGCCAGAATTCATCCTTTGCCAGATTCAGCAAATAAGGTAACAAGGATGCACCATAATATTTTTATGTGACAAAAATTTCCATAAACAATAAATGTGGTGTGATAAAACATACAGCAAATGTTTAAATTTTTAAATTAATTGCAGTAAAATACATATTACCAGGGCTGGGGATTTAGCTCAGCAGCATAAGCGCCTACAAGAGTACAATTGTGAGTTTGATCCCCAGTACAAAAAAAAAGAGACATATTACCATTAATTCCTATCAAAATATTCCAAATATTCCCTCTTTCTTCTAACACACTTGGCAATTCTTGGCAATGTTTTTTTAATTTTTATTTTTAGCTTAAACATTCACCATATGTTCCAGTCACCACTTGTGTATATGAGACATAGACATATGTACATTTGAAAAGGTTCTCTCTCTCTCTCTCTCTCTCTCTCTCTCTCTCCCTCTCTCTCTCCCTCTCTCAATCTCTCTCTCGCTCAAACTCCTAGGCTCAAGGGTTCCTGTGGCCTCAGCTGCCTCCAAGTGGTGAAGACTTCAGGTTCACACCCTGCATCCTCTGTGATACCTCCTTTATTAAGAGTGGACTGCTACCTGTCCCCTTCTCAAGTGGAAAATTTCCTCCCACCTTGCTGTATGCTCACTACTCTCTGGAGCTTCTGGAATCCCCATAGCTGGAGCACACGCTCCTCTTGTGCCATCCTGGGCCCACACTGTGTCTCCCCACGAAGACAGGAGCCCCCTCACAAGCAACGGACACATCTCACCATTCTCTTCTGTACCAGTCTCACACCACACACACAAACAGTGTTAATCCATGATCTGGAAAATGTATCTACATCTCTTTAGAGAAGGAAAATTTCCCTAGCAACTATTATTTCTACTACTAAAGTCTAGAGAGGAGTATGTCACAAATCATTTCTATCTATAGTATGTGTCGTTTTAGGCAAAACATCTCTATAAATCTTACACTGAAGTAAAAAAAAATCTTTAGCTATAGCTATAAAATAGAGCTCAAGAAACAGGCTGGTGCACAGCAACCAATACCAAACATACAGTGTTATATATAGAGCCTGTTAAGAAAGAATCCAGAAATGCTTTGCATTTTCCTGAAAAGCATTTCAGTTGTGTAACAGTGCCACCTAGTGGTAGATTTTAAAACACACTAAATCAAAGTAATGCTAACCACTACTACATAGGTAATAATGTAGTAGGTTCTTAGCTCTTGACCTGGAGTAAAGAGGACCAGATTTTCATTCTGCCAGAAAAAAAGGGGCTGAAGAGAGGCAGGGGGACCACACAAAACATACAACTGGTTTGTAAGACAGTGGACCTCAGCTGTAAAGGACAGTATTTCTGTGAGACAGGAAATAAAGTAGCTGGAAGTAGTTGTGCACACCTGTAACCCCCAGCACTCTGGAGGCTGAGGCAGGAGGATCCCCATAAGTTCAAGTGCAGCCTGGATTACACAGTGAGTTCAAGGCCAGGCTGAACCACATAGCAAGATCCTGTCTTTAAAAAAAGTATGAGACACTGAGTTCCTGTTTTACTTCTTTGGTTGCTTTTGTTTGTTGGTTGGTTTGGTTTAGATTTTGGGTTTTGGTTTTTCGAAACAGGGTTTCATTATGTAGTGTATCTTCTTTTTTTTTTATCTTTTTATCGGTACCAAGGATCGAATTCACAACCGCCTGTTTGCAAGGCAGGTGCTTATGCCGCTGAGCTAAATCCCCAGCCCCGTTTCACTATGTAGTACAGGCTGGTCCTGAACTCACTATGTGTACCAGCTGGCCTTGAACTTGCAGCAATCCTCCTGCCTCAGCCTCCTAAGTGCTGGGATCACAGGCATGTACCACCACACCTGGCTAGTTTACTTCTTTGATACTGAGTGACAATATTAAAAGCAAGAATAAAAACTATATAAACTGTTTTTAATTAATTCAACTGTGTTCCAGGGAGGAAAAAAGCCCAAGAATCAAACTAAGGAATATCCTGCATTATAACTCGCAATGTTTGACAACCAATCAAAACTTACCAAAATGCAAAGAAACAGAAATGCACAGAAGAATCAAGTGATCAAAACTTACTCACAAGGGCTACTGGAGGAACAGGAAAACAATAGTCTTTTCCTGTGAGTCAGCACCATTTGTGGACTGATTGTGGGGGACAAGAAGTCACCAAGAAGCAAGCCCTGCCTGCAAATTAGTGCCAGGCATGGGCCTCTGGAGAACAGCCAGATACCAGCCTTGTCTCAGGAATCAGTACCATTTGTGAACTGACTGTGGGGGAAGAGAACAAGAAGTCACCAAGAACATGCCCTTCCTGTGAACTGGCACTATGCAGGGGCCGCTGGGGGGAGAGCCAGATGCCAGCCCCTTCTGGCAGTCAAGCTGGGAAACAAGAAGAGCCGACTCCCCCACCCGCTTCCATAAGCTGCTAACTGATCTGAGAAAACACTGGCTGCGATGATAGCTACTGAGGCAAAATACAATTTAACGCTTGGAGTGTTTAGTGTCTCACTGACTTTGCAGGTCTAAAGGTGATAGTCTGATCATCTATTCAGAGATAACAATATGCAATGTAGCATCTGTGTCCTTCTGACAGTGGTGGCCATTGTTAATTCCCTATTATCTTGTTTTGAAGTCCTGTATCATTTTCATTGTTTTGTTGGGTTAGGTTTTATTTGGTTTGGTTTGGTTTGATTATATCCAATAACATGGGCATCTATTTCAAATATAAGATATATTATGGTAGCATTTTGGATTTACTCTTACCTTGTTTTGAAGTCCTTTATTGCATTCATTGTTTTGTTTTTATTGATTTTATTCTGTTCTGTTTTGTTTGTTTTCTATATCTGAAGGTATCTGCAGCTATTTTGAAGACAACAAATGGCATTTTGGTAACCATTGTTGATTTCTTATTATTTTGAAGTCCTTTGTCACTCACACTGGTTTGTTTTGATTGGCTTTGTTTTATTTTGCTTGGTTTTATTCTCTTTAAAGTAAAAATTAAAAATCTTGCTCACAACAGATGCAGATGCTATGATTAACAGATTTTTTTTAAAAACTGTTGTTATCATTATAACTATCCCATGTGTTCAAAAAGTTAAGCAGACACACAGGAAAATAAAACACAAATTGAATGTTAAAAATGAAAACTATGAAGTATGAAACAAAAATATTCAGGGTAAAATTAATTTCATTATAATTATAATTTCATTATAATTGTTATAATTTAATTATAACAATTTTTTAATTGTTATACACACAAAAGGGAAAAAAAGGTTTTAAATGAACAGAGTGCTGGGTGTGGTGACACATTCCTATAATCCCAACCCTCAGGAGGCTGAGACAGGAGAATTCCTGTGAGTCTGTGGCCAGCCTGGGCTACTTAGTGAGTTCAAGGCCAGCTCCGAACTATAGAGCAAGACCTTGTCTCAGAATAAAGGAAAGAAGGAAGGAAAGAAGGAAGGAAGGAAGGAAGGAAGGAAGGAAGGAAGGAAGGAAGGAAGGAAGGAAGTGGAACATTTTACAAGGCTAACCATACATGCATGATCAGAATCCCTGACGAAGGTAGGAGGGGGAAGAAACATTTAAAGAAAACTGCAGTGAGATTTTTCCAATTATTATGGAATCTATAAATCTACAGATACAAAATGCTCACTAAAATTTCAAATACAAGAAACATGAAGAAAACTACATAGATACGTAATAATTATATTACTCAGAACAAACAGACACCTTAAAAGAAGTCAGAGAAAGAAACCCCTGTCCCACAGCGGATGTGGCTGCCCCACTGACAGCAAAGAGCTACAGGCAGAGGGTGGGGCACCACTGTCCCAGAGTGGCAGCAAACTTTGTCAACCTACACTTCTTTATCTAAAGAAAATAGCTCTCACGAGGTAAACTA